GGGCATAAGTATTTGATATTAAGGAATTAACACTGTTACTTTTTTTTAGGTGTGATAAAGGTATTGCAATTATGTCTTACTTTATATATACTTTTTTTCCTTTTGTGTATATTTTGTTTGGAAATGTTTATATTTTTTAAAAAAAGAATAGAATCTAACAATCAACAATAATATGGCAGGGTTAACAGAACCATCTACTAAGTCAGTTTCATGTTTTAGGGAAGTAACATTGTGGATTCAATGCAAAGAGCCTGGATTTCAGAATCAGAAAGACTCACTATTTAAATGCAGATCCCTTATCTTTTCAACATCTGTTTTTGTGCCTGTAAAATTGGGATGTTAAAAAAAAAAACCTGGGATATTATTTACCTCATGTGGTTTTGTGAAGAATAAATGAGATAACATACCTAGTTTCTGGCATATAATAGATGCACTATAAATGTTAGTAACCTTGGGAAGAAAAGAGTCAGGGTTTTTAAAAACTTGTTTCTTGTTTTTACTATATCCAGGACTAGAAAAATAAAACTTTCAGGGTAGAAGGAAATGAAACAGCATTGGATTTAGGTCCCTACTTTAAAGGAATGGGAAAAGGTCCTTAAAAGTCTTATTGAAGTTTGGCATTCCCTGTTTATAATTTCATTCCTTTGTCTATACTTACAGAGGCCACTGGTGGAAGTTTAGTTTTGTTTTTTGTTTTTTTAAGAAAAGTTTATTTAAAAGTAAATTAGAGAGAGAAGGAGGAGAGAGAGAAAAGATTCACCTCCCCAAGGTAGGGGAGGGGGCCAAAGCCAGGAAGCATGGTGACAGCCATAGCTAAAGAGCACATGGCCATACCAGAGGCTAGCAAGGCAATGGCCCAGGAAGTTTAGTTCTAATGTCATCTGCTTTAAGAGAAAAAAGCTTTCATTTTAATTCTGAGGTTATCAGTGCAGTTGCAGAAGTTTCTATGTTGATAATGCGGGATTTAATAACTTAAAGAAATAGAATTTAAAGATATTTGCCTAAAATAAGTGACTCAAATTTTTTTCCAGATTTTAACCTTTCATATTTTCTTGCTTAGAAGCAAGAAAATATATCCCACACCCATGATTACCTGATTGTCTGCTTCACCTTTTAATCTGTGTGTGTAATAATTAAAGTGGTGCTGGAACATAAAGTGCATAGATAGGTGTATATGTGAGTTAGGGTACAAAAGGTATAAAACACAACAAAGAAGTTCTTAATGAAACTTTATATAGGTCACTGTATTCTTGATTTAATTTTGCTTTTTTGAGTAGGTATTGTTTACACACATTGCAGAAGTCAAAACAGTATAAAAAGTTTTACGTATAGCGAGATATCTGCTCCCACATATGTCTTTCTTTATCTCTCCCCAAACCCACTTTTTTTTTTTTTTTTTTTTGGACTAATGACAGCCCAGAGATAACAATGTAGGACGTATATTTCTACATTGAGTTCAATACAACAAAAAACACTTATAATTTCAAGCAAATCGTCTCTCCCCAGTAACAGTGTCCTTTTGATAAAATTTCACACCACAGGAAATCCATTACAATAAATATCTGTTCCAGTATCTGTCCATTTAGCAAGAATTCTCTTTATGTTTGATGCCTCTTCCTGATAAGCTGTCCTAAAGACCTTCCTCTTCTTCCCTCTGAGATTTC